ATGATAAAATCCTAGCGACACCCTAATTATGTAACACAGGCTCCTCGACAAATTCGTCCGCAGTGTTCTTGCGTTAGTATAAAACGAACATATTGAGTTGTCAAGCGAGAAGGAAAATAATCCGCTAGAAAAAGACTTGTACAGCGTATTGTGCGCAAATATTCGGCATTTCTGCAGATTCATGCATCTACAGTAAATACGGAGAAAATAACCTATTAAAGGAATATTAGAATAGGCATATAGTTATATCAATCTATCCGTTTGACCACACACGCACATACACATCGACGCCCACTTACCTCAGCTTTAAGACGTTTTTCCAATTCCTCTAACGTCTTCATACAGTACGTGGCGGTAACGATAATCACACAGACGCGAATAACCTCGTCGTTGGATAGACGCGGAGGCTGGATGAGATCAAAAGACCAGCAATTATAAACAGGCAGAGCCTTATAGAATGCGTAATTCACCAAAAACGCTATAGACAAATAAGATATAATGAGTTAGACAGTAGCGGACAGGATGTGCAAGCAAGCTGTACGCTATACCACGATTTCATTTCGAATGTGGCCCGAAGGCAATTTTAAAACAGCCGTAAAACTTTGTTGCCACAAGGCCTGCGCTGACAATATGAATAACATAAAGCTTAAAAACACAATTTCAATGCAGTAACGACAACATTTCCAGTAAAAATTGACAAACCCTAGATTCAATGCAAATGTGAATGTTTGCGAAAAATAAGCGTAAGTGTTACCAATTGAATAAGACTCCAAGCACAAGGAGATGTTTGCTTCTTAACGTTGCCTATTATTCAAAGCTAAATAAATACCAATATTCTGTTTGATTTAATTAGATTTTAGCAACTAAAGGATATATCCAAGCGTATAATTCTCCGAGCGCCAAACTTTGAGCAAAGAACATATCCTAGTTACCACATGTCTGATACCAATAATCTTGGCTGCAAGTATTGTCCAAAATTAAAGGGCCGTTAGGGGAAATGCTAAGCCATTTCAAAAATAGAGGAACATACAGCAGCCGCATATGCCCACAAATGCTGAAAGCCTACCTTTAAACGGCAGAAGAAAAAGGCAAAAACGGAATAAAACAAAACTCGTGATTTATATTTTC